AGAATATATATATATATATATATATATATATATATATATATATGCATGCACCCACACATATACACAAATATAAACACACATATACACACACATAATACATATACACAGACTGGGCCACAGCAACACATGGCAGGGGACAGCTAGAATGTGTGTGTGTGTGTATATATATATATATATATATATATATATATATATATTTGCAACCACACATATACACATGTATAAACACACATATACACACACATAATACATATACACAGACTGGGCCACAGCAACAAAATAGTACAAATAGTACAAAATAAAAAAACCTAATTATAAATTATGAATTTATTTATTATTATTTATTTACAGCATTTATATACCGCTTTTCTCACCCTGAGGGGGACTTGAAGCGGTTTACACATAGATAATGGCAAGAATTCAATGCCTTACAAGTACAATATTAAAACTATACTTTAAACATAAATCATATTAAAAACACTACATCATCAAATATCAAAACAGTTATTAAACCATAAAACAACCTCATCAGTCGAGTTATATAATTATATATAAAGAAAAACTAATTTAGTCACCGTAAGGCTGAGAAAGGCGGGCTACAAATGCCGTAAATAAATAATAATTATTATTATCAGTTCTTTTCCTGGTTTCTTTCTTAAGAGAATCTCTAAAGTAATTTAGTGTCTTGCAGAAGCATCAATGCAAGCTTAGGCATGTTTGTTTAGTGTCGATTTAATGCACTTTTAATCTCACTTTAAGTGCCATATTGCAGTGCAATCCTTGGAGTTGTAGTTTGCTTGCCAGACTGCAAATCCCAGGATTCCGTAGCATTGATCCATAGCAGTATGGTTGCATCCTTGAAGCAGAAGCCGCACATGATCTTCATTTAATAGTATGAGAATCTTAATGGAGCAAAAACTTCACATATATGATGTTGTCTTCAGTCCAAGTGAAAGATTGGGGAAGCGACTCCCATACAAAGGGAAAGGAAAGCTTAGAAGCATAGAGTTGGAAGGGAATCCCAAGGGTCATCCAGTCCAACCCCATTCTGCCAATGCAAACCCTCCCGACAGATGGCTATCCAAATGAAAATAATTATAATATTGCTCTTCTTGTTCTCTCTCTCTCTTGTCCTTCTTTTCAGAGCGAATCCCTTGTGGTGTGCGATGTGGCCGAAGACCTCGTGGAGAAGCTGAGGAAATTCCGCTTCCGCAAAGAAACCAACAATGCGGCCATTATCAGTAAGAAGTTGCAGGATTTAGGGAGGGGTGGCACACACTGGGAACACATTGTTTCTGAGGAATGGCAGAGACTGATTGCAATCTCTGGAAAAAGTGTAGGGCTTCCTAACAGTGAGAGCTGTTTAGCAGTGGAACTCTCTGCTGCGGAGTGTGGTGGAGGCTCCTTCTTTGGAAGCTTTTAAACCAAGGCTGGATGGCCATCTGTCGGGGGTGCTTTGAATGCACTTTTCCTGCTTCTTGGCAGAATGGGGTTGGACTGGATGGTCCATGAGGTTTCTTCCAACTATGATTTTTAAAGGAAACTTGAGAACTGTTTAGCAGTGGAACTCTCTGCTGCAGAGTGTGGGACTTCCTTACTGTGAGAGCTGTTCAGCAGTGGAACTACCTGCTGCGGAGTGTGATGGGGGCTCCATCTTTGGAAGCTTTTAAACCAAGGCTGAATGGGGTTGGACTGGATGGTCCACAAGGTCTCTTCCAAGTCTATGATTTTTAAAGGAAATTTGAGAGCTGCTTAGCAGTGGAACTCTCTGCTGCGTAGTATAGTGGAGGCTCCTTTTTTGGGGGTTTTAAACAGAGGCTGGATGGCCATCTGTCGGGGGTCCTTTGAGTGCGATTTTCCTGCTTCTTGGCAGAATGGGGTTGGACTGGATGGTCCACGAGGTCTCTTCCAACTCTGATTTTTTAAAGGAAACTTGAGAGCTGTTGTTCAGCAGTGGAACTCCCTGCTGTGGAGTGTGGTGGAGGCTTCTTCTTTGAAGGCTTTTAAACAGAGGCTTTATGGCTATCTGTCGGGGGTGCTTTGAATGCACTTTTCCTGCTTCTTGGCCGAATGGGGTTGGAATGGATGGTCCACGACGTCTCTTCCAACTCTAGGATTTTTTAATGAAACTTGAGAGCTGTTTACCAGTGGAACTCTCTGCTGCGGAGTGTGGTGGAGGCTCCTTTGGAGGCTTTTAAACAGTGCCTTTATGGCCATCTGTCGGGGTGCTTTGAATGCAATATTCCTGCTTCTTGGCAGAATGGGGTTGGACTGGATGGTCCACGAGGTCTCTTTCAACTCAGTGATTCTATGATTCAGATTTTTTTCAATGTACCTGCAGACGGCCAATTTGTCCCACCAGAAGCGACTTACAGTTTCTCAAGTTTCTCAAGTTTCTCCTGACTCAGGAAATGAAATCAGATCTGCTCCATCTCTCCTGTCCTTCTGGAAAAAATGAAAAAAAAAATCTAGGCTGTGGGATCAGGCCTTTGTTGATTAGACTGACTTACTGGCAAAGTTATGGTTTAATGGACTATGATGGACTGCTTTTAGGATGACTGAATTCTGAATGTTTTCATATTTTTATACTGTTTTTATTATATTATGTGCATTTATGCTTTTCTTATTGTGGTCACAATGCAATGCTGCCCTGAGTCCCTCTGTGGAGATGAGATAGGACGGGATATAAATGCCCCCAAATAAATAAATAAATAAATATACCTGCAGACATCCTGTATAAATAAAAATGTACTGTCCCGTTTGTGGGGACCTCATATCTCCCAAACCTTGAGAAACTACAAGTCGCTTCCGGAGTGAGAGAATAGGCCATCTCCAAGAACGTTCCCTAAAGGAACGCCCAGATGTTTTACCATCCTGTGAGAGGCTTCTCTTTGAAAATATGTGAAAGGTTCAGGGTGAGGGAAAAAAAACTCTTTTCTACTTGAGCCAAGTGTGAATGTTGCAATTGTCCACCTTGATTACCTTTGAAAAACCTTGCAGCTTAAAAGCCTGGCTTCCTCCTTCCAGTGGGAAGGTGTTCCCTAGCTCATATTGTTTCATGAATGGAATTCCTCTTGTTTTCTGAGGGCCACAGCAACACGTGGCTGGGTACAGCTAGTTTTAAATACATTATAACTGTACCCTCAATTTGCTTCTGATAGGATAAATAAATATGATGTGTTTATAACTATGTTGTGCCACACCTCGAGGAGAGGCAGGTAAGAAATAAAAATCATCATCATTATTATTTATAGTAGTGTTATTCCCCAAAGAGGAAAGCAACTCTGAAAGGAAGAGAGAAGACGAGATTGTGATTATACTTTTCACATGGCATGGATTTCACCTCCTATAATTCCTTGTGTTCTGTTAACAGTGAAAATCGACAAGGACAAGCAGCTGGTGGTTCTGGATGAAGAGCACGAGGTTTGTGGGTGATTTCCGCAGCTCTGCTTTTGTTTGGAAGCTTAGCCTTTTGCAATCCATTTGCGATTTGTGAAGGCGCAGGTTCGCAGCTTGGGTGTGATCCTGGATTCATCGTTGAGCCTGGATCCCCAGGTTTCAGCGGTGACCAGGGGAGCATTTGCACAGCTTAGGCTCGTGCGCCAGCTGCGCCCGTACCTCGGGAGGTCTGACTTGGCCACGGTGGTACACGCTCTGGTCACATCCCGCCTTGACTACTGCAACGCTCTCTACGTGGGGCTGCCCCTGAAGACGGCCCGGAAGCTTCAGCTAGTCCAGCGCGCGGCAGCCATGTTACTAACTGGAGCGGGACGCAGGGAGCACACAACGCCCTTGTTGTACCAGCTCCATTGGCTGCCGACCTGCTACCGGGCCCAATTCAAATTGCTGGTGTTAGCCTACAAAGCCCTAAACGGTTCCGGCCCAAAATACCTGTCAGACCGCATCTTGGCCTATGAGCCCACGAGGGCCTTAAGATCGTCCGGGGAGGCCCTTCTCTCGATCCCGCCTGCCTCACAGGCACGCCTGGTGGGGACGAGAGAGAGGGCCTTCTCGGTGGTGGCCCCCCGGCTGTGGAACACTCTCCCTGTAGACATCAGACAGGCGCCCTCCCTTATGTCTTTTCATAAAGGCTTAAAGACATGGCTATTCGAGCAGGCATTTAATTAAATGCTACAATTAGTTTTGGCAAGACAATTGGAACGGAATTTGGATTATGAGCTTGGATATGATTCTACTATAAGACGGAGCGGATCATTTAGTTGTAATTTATAATTGTTATACTGTGTTATATTGTGGATATGCTGTTTTATATTGCCTTTTGTAATTTGCCTTTTATATGTTGTACACCGCCGCGAGTCGCCCTAGGGCTGAGAGCGGCGGTCAACAAATGCACCAAATAAATAAATAAATAAATAAAAATACTGTTTCTGTCTTTGCTTTGCCTGCAGGGTATTTCCCCGGACGAACTCAAAGACGAGCTTCCAGAGAGGCAGCCTCGATATCCTTTGATGTTTTGGCTTGGAAAATCCGTTTCTGTTGTAAAGGAGGAACCTCTGTCTTGATGCATCAATTGGGACACAAAAGCAACATACAGATTTCTTTATTTTAAAAATAATTACATTATTCAGGGGGAAAATTCAAAATAAAACATAGACTTGATAGAGATCACCCGCACCATCAATTCCTATTATTATGATTATTATACTTATTTATTTATATCCCACTTTATCTCTCCTGCAGGAGACTCAAGGCAGCTTCACATAAATTCATTAGCATACAATGTAAAATATGCAAACATTAAAACAGGATTAAATATAAACTGGATTAAAAAATTCCCGGTTAAAAACCATTAAAGCATGTTCAGAGTTCAAAACCATAGTACCCCCGACTTGATCTGAAATTACTTAGGCGATCCCTAAGTCCGAGGATGATGGTCCTCCAAGTTCGGTGTCCTGGCGGTGGGTGCATAGGTGGCTGTGGAGCCCTATCCTTGACCTGCATCTTCTCCCACAGTGAGGGCATTGGTTTCCAGGTGGAAGGCGGTCCTGGTCGGGGTTGGCTTGATGCGCCTTCCTCCTGGCACGTTTCTCTCTTTCAGCCTCCATTTGTGCCTCTTCAAATTCTACAACACTGCTGGTCACAGCTGACCTCCAGCTGGAGTACTCAAGGGCCAGGGCTTCCCAGGTCTCGGTGTCTATGCCACTGTTTTTAAGGTTGGCTTTCAGCCCATCTTTAAATGTCTTCTTGCCCACCAACATTGCGTTTTCCATTCTTGAGTTCGGAGGAGAGCAACTACTTTGGGAGACGGTGGTCGGGCATCCGGACAACGTGGCCGGTCCAGCGAAGTTGATGCCGGAGGACCATCGCTTCAACGCTGGTGGTCTTTGCTTCTTCCAGGACGCTGACGTTTGTCCGCCTGTCTTCCCAAGAGATTTGCAGGCTTTTCTGGAGGCAGTGCTGATGGAATCATTCCAGGAGTTGCATGTGACGTCTGTAGACAATCCACGTCTTGCAAGCGTATAGCAGAGTTGGAGGGACAATAGCTTTATAAACAAGCAAGCACCTTGGAATCCCTACGGATGTCCTGATCCTCAAACACTCTCTGCATCATTGGGAAAAATGCTGCACTCGCAGAGCTCAGGTGGTGTTGAATTGATCTGAAATACCTTCATTTTTAAAAGCCTCCTGTCATGGAGGAAAACCCAGTTAAAGCACTCCCGGCAGATGACCATGCAGCTTCGACATATAAAGTTTGTTTTAAAGCATATGAAACTACAAACTGAATGCAGTGTGATAGCACGTTCACTGCCGAAGCATTATTATTATTATTATTATTATTATTATTATTATTATTATTATTTGTATTCCGCTTCTTCCTCTCTAAAAAGAGACTCAAAGCAGCTTACGATAAAACCAGTACAATTCAAAACCTAAAAGTATGCAAATGCTGTAATAGAAATGAACATTAACGTTAATGTGATCTTCTCACATTTGCATGTTTTGGAACTGCTAGGTTGGCAGAAGCTGGGGTTAACAGCGGGAGCTCAACTTGTCCATGGATTGGAACCGCTGACCTTCCTATCAGCAAGTTCTGCAGCTTAGCGGTTGAATCCATTGCATCACTGTGGCCCCTTATTAGAAGGCTATTCCTGGTAGCTAAAACTATAGCTCCTCCTGACTTGATCGTAATTATTTATGTATTTACAGTATTTATATCCTGTCCTTCTCAGGGCGGATTACAATGTAGACATATATGGCAAACATTCAATGCCAAAGACACACAACAGATATAGACAGACAGTCAGAAGCTATTTAACTTTTTCTGGCCACCAGGGGAGCTGTCGCTTTCATCGTCCATCTGCAACACTGATGAAGTACTTCCGCACTCCCCGCATGCTTTTTTTGCTGGAGTCTTTTTATGGCCTCATAAATTTTGTTAAATTAGCCTCCCCACACATAGGTGGTACCTAAATTTCCTACTTGACAGATGCAACTATCTTTCTGGTTGCAAAGGTCGACAACAAGCTAGACGAAAGGCTGGAAGCTCACTCCAAACTGGGCTGGCTTCGAACTCATGACCTTTTGGTCAGAAGTGATCTTAATGCAGCTGACGCAATCCTGGTGCTTTTGAATCAATGGGAGTTGCAGCTTTACAAGGTTTTTTGCCTTCTCTGCCTCACCAAAAGACAAATCACAGGATTCCATACCATTGAGCCATGGTAGTTAAAGTGGTGCCAAACTGCATTAATTCTACAGTGTAGATGCATCCTTAGACATTACTGCTGCTTGTGACAAAAGGAATATTCCTCTTGCAAGCGAGTCAGTACAGCACCCCTTCGGAGAGGAATTTATATGTCTTACAAAACTTTGCTCCTTTAAAGCTGTGGCTTAAGGCTATTGTGAAGGCTATCTTTTTTCTTTAAGACAGAAGCTCCCCTTGCTTTCCTTATCTAAAGCAAACATTCATTGTCTATAGCTACAAGTACCAGCATGACGATGGGAGAGTCTCTTACCCGCTCTGCTTCATCTTCTCCAGCCCAGTTGGTAAGTGAAGCTGGGACTAATTCAGGTGGGAGTAGCTGGGGGATGTACCTCCATCTATTATTATTGTTATTATTAGATACAGAAAGGACTTAAAGACCCACAACAACAAAGGGACAACTTTCAATGGTGCAGGAAATGGCACTCTGTACATATGCTCAGGCTTATTGTAGTTTAATGTACTTTGTGCTTGTTTCTTTGAATGGATGATCATGACTGAAGGAGAGGAAGCCACTCAGAAAGTTCAGGCAAAAGCAAACAGCTCCTGACTGTGCTCTCTTGCATCTATTTTCCTCCATCATCTCATTTGTCCCCTTGACCACACTCTGGCTTTGCTTGGCCATAGGTGTCCCAGCTTTCTTCCAGATCGGGGCCCATAAAGGAAACAAACATGACGTCTTCACCTCTTTTCCTTATTGATCCATCCATAGTTTGTTATTAGCACTTTCACTGATGCGTCTTGAGCAAGGCGCACTGCTGAGATGTCCCAAAAAGGATACCATCCTGGAGATCTGAATATATGGTTACCAAAAGCCCACTTCTCCTATTTCTGATTGTCATCTAAATTTAAAAAAATCATTATTATTGTTTGAAATACAACAAGATGAGTCCACAGCAAACAAGATCACTCTGCTGGTTGTTGTATTGGATCACACGCTGGGTACTTCCCAAGTGTCTAGGACTGTGTAATGTATCGCTGAATAATGCGTGCAGATCTGAGTAGGATAGCATTTTGCACCTGACAGATAATAATAATTATTATTTATATTCTGCTCTATCTCCCCAATGGGATTCAGAGCGGATTCATTGTCTATAGCTACAAGTACAAGATGGTAATTTTGTCAGTGCTGATTGTGTTTAGGAGCAGGTCCAAGTCTTAACTTTTCTGGCCGCCGGGGGAGCTGTCACTTTCATTGTCCATCTGCAACACTGATGAAATACTTCCGCATTCCCCGCATGCTTTTGCTGGAGTCTTTATTATGACCTCGTAAATTAGTTAAATTACCATCCCCACACATAGGTGGTACCTAATTTTCTGTTGCAACTCAGAGTAGGCTTCACCTTGCTCCCAAACATCACCACACAAGAGCTGTAGATTTTGTAGTTTATTGAGGAAAAATCAAAGTCAAAGCATAGAATAAGCAATGCAAAGTTCCAAAGACAAAGGTTAAATGCAAAACACAGTTCCAAAGACCCTCAGGTAAGAACATAAAATATAATCCTTTAAGCAATGGTCAAATCAGAGTCCATGGTAAAAACAGTGAAACACAAGCCCCAAGAATTCCAATTCAGGAAGCCCAAAGCGTGCTGCTTTAAAGCCAGGGTTATTCCATAGAAGCTTTCATGCAAAAAGCCACGTTGAACTGACACCTTCCCTTTGTTAACCAGAAGCCTAAATAGCTTTTGCCACCATGACAACATTATGCTTTTGCCAACATGAAAGCATTACGGTGACCTTTCACCGACCTGGCTTCTTTCTTGCTGGCTAACTGCGAACTCCTCCTGAATCATAGAATCATAGAATCAAAGAGTTGGAAGAGACCTCATGGGCCATCCAGTCCAACCCCATTCTGCCAAGAAGCAGGAATATTGCATTCAAATCACCCCTGACAGATGGCCATCCAGCCTCTGTTAAAAGCTTCCAAAGAAGGAGCCTCCACCACACTCCGGGGCAGAGAGTTCCACTGCTGAACGGCTCTCACAGTCAGGAAGTTCTTCCTCATGTTCAGATGGAATCTCCTCTCTTGTAGTTTGAAGCCATTGTTTGGTCCTAGTCTCCAAGGAAGCAGAAAACAAGCTTGCTCCCTTTTCCCTGTGGCTTCCTCTCACATATTTATACATGGCTATCATATCTCCTCTCAGCCTTCTCTTCTTCAGGCTAAACATGCCCAGCTCCTTAAGCCGCTCCTCATAGGGCTTGTTCTCCAGACCTTGATCATTTTAGTCGCCCTCCTCTGGACACATTCCAGCTTGTCAATATCTCTCTTCAATTGTGGTGCCCAGAATTGGACACAATATTCCAGGTGTGGTCTAACCTGACCCGCCAATCTAAACGTTCCTGCCTGCTCATTAAATCACTATCAAGGCTCTCTTCTCTATCAGTATCAGCGTGAGAAGGCTGAGCAAGTGAAGGCCTCTGCACCTGGTCATTATCTAATTCGCTGGCATTCTTTTCCCATGAGAACTGACTTGTTGACTCCTCTGGTGCACTGTCTGAAAGAGGCACAGCATAGGAACAGGCCCAGAAATCTGAATCCCATCATCCTCTTCATCAGGGAACATTTCAGGCTCACAAGAGGGTTCAGTTTCAGGCTCAGAATCAAGCTGAGCCACAACATTTTCCTACTTGACAGATGCAACTGTCTTTCGGGTTGCAAAGGTCGACAACAACCTACACAATTGGTTGGAAGCTCACTCCGACCTGGGCTGGCTTCGAACTTATGACCTTTTGTTCAGAAGTGATCTTAATGCAGCAGACACTCAGACAGCTGCATCACAGTCCTGGTGTTTCTTTCTAGTTTGGTGTTTCTTCTAGACTGAGAGCATTTTTAACCATATTAGTAAACAATCAAATCCAGAGACATGTTTGCACTTTGTGATGGAGGCAAGGAGGGAGTGTGTATGTGTGTTACGGTGAAGAGTTTTGCTAAGCTTCATCTCAATCTGCATCGCTGGGGATTGCTAGCGTATATCCAGAGAGGAAATCTCTGCAAGAAGAGAACAGGCTGGTTTTCCTGGAGAATCGTTTTTGCACATATGGACTGGAGCAAGGCATCTGGTACCACAGGCCGGTCTCATGCATTTCTTTTGCTTTGCCTCTTCCCTCTTCCCCGTTTCCTGCAATTACAGGGTGCAAGCCTGAGCAGCAGATGATGTATGCCGGTAGCAAAAACAAGCTTGTACAGACCGCAGAACTTACAAAGGTAAGGCTGGAGCAAGGTCTGGATATGCATGTAAATTCTGTGTAATGCTATAAGTCAGACATTTGTAAACTTGGGCCCTCTGGGTGTTTTGGACTCCAACTCCCACAATTCCTAACAGCCGGTAGGCTGTTAGGAATTGTGGGAGTTGGAGTCCAAAACACCCGGAGGGCCCAAGTTTGCAGATCCCTCCTACAAGTCCTCCAGCACGGTCTTCTTTGTGACCTTGCTGGGTATTTTCCCCAAATACAGGTTTGCCTTTGTGTTGATAGGAAGCGGGATCTGTCCATTCACCTCTAACCCCAGCTTTGGCTCATGCTTCCGATTTCTATTGGAAGAGGAAATGAGCTTAAGATCATTTCTAGTTTTGTGATTGTAAATTCTTCCTTACTCTTCATTTATTTGTTTATTATTTATTTACGACATTTGTAAAGTCCCGAAGGGGACTCAGAGCGGCTTACAATGCATATATTCATACAATATATTATTAGCACAGTACAATATCAGTTTTAAATATTGCTATATTGTACTATAGCAATTATACTGTAATATTATTAGTAATATCACATGCAATATAAATATTTATTTATTTATTTATGGTGTCATAGAATCAAAGAGTTGGAAGAGACCTCATGGGCCATCCAGTCCAACCCCTTTCTGCCAAGAAGCAGGA